GAAGCCATATACGCACTAGCACGTAAAATGACAAATCGCAAAATTTGTGTAACTTCTAGGGTCACACATCGTAAAATATCAAAATCGTCGTAAAATATCAAAATCGCAAAATTTTTGCGAATTCACGTATCTGGGTATGTATATGTTGCCGGCCTAGGGAGCGGTGGGCATACGATGCCATACGTATTTTGCAGGCGCGTCTGGAGGTGCCCACAAAATAGGAATGTTTTTTTTCCCCATTGATTTCTTGCTGCGTTCACTTTCAATTTTTTGTGCCGCACACTGTGTGACCGCACGGTGGCCAAATTCGCAAATTCGCATTTGGATGTCTGGTCACAATGCTGTCTTTTTTTTTTGTTTTGTGCTAGATGCGGGAGAGCTGTGTGACCAGGCGGTGCCCTATAATCGCAAAATCGCCAGCGCAAAATGTGTGATCTTACTTGCTAGTGTGAACAGGCCTTGAGTGTGGTGTGTACTGAACATAGTACACTCCCCGTGTTCCAAAATAAAAGAAGATGGAAAGAAAGAAAGGAAAAAGTCAGAGCATTCATTTTTTTTTTTTTGCATTCATTTGATGGGAAAGAGGATGCGGAAGGTGGGGGGAAGATCCCTTATTCTTCATTTTTTTACAAAACTGCCACCTGGGGGGCTGCTATTGAGAGAGGAAAGAAAGGTTGGGGGGAGATTCCTTGTTCCTCAGTTGCATGTTCCTTATCAAACATCTTATAGCAGTCTCCCTTATAAAATCAAATAAGGTGAGTCTTTAATATATATATATATATATACACAGTGTAATCAGTTAGGGGATTCTGCAGACTGTTGAGGGTTCAGCCTCCTGATGAGTAGGTGAAACTGTTTCACCGACGAAACAGTTGGTCACAGCCCCTCGTTTGTTGTCCTCTTCTCCCTCTCTGCCTACGGTTTACCGGGCATCTCTGTTTGACTATATATATATATATATATATGAGTCAGTGAAACTCCGACGAAACAGCCGAACTTGGCCGCTGGCTTCGATGGGAGGATCTCCATTGCAACTTCCTGGGCGTCACTCAAAGCTGTTATAATTCTGTTTGTTTCTTTGTACTCCAACGTCCTTGTACAGGCTGTGATAGCTGTAACAGTTTCTTCCGAGACTTCCACACCGAATACTTCCACACCGAATCCACGGTGTAGCCATGTATCAGATCCTGACCAAGGACCTTGAAGTTCCAGAACACCCTGAGGCTCTTTTTCTGTTGTCCCCAAGTAGCCATCCAGCAGCTTCCACCCGTAGAGAAGGAATGTTAAGGTAAGATCTGCAGCCAACCTTGGGGCAAGGCCTGTTGTATTTCCACGAGATGATCATAAACTTCACACAGACACTTAAACCACCAGTGCACGGCCCATACATAGGCCGCGGGGCGTTGTCGTTAACACCACGTAACTTTCCAAGGCTCGGGGTACTGACCCTCAAAGGCTGGCGCCGCCAGCCAAAACCATTTTTTTTGGTTGCGCTGGCGGGTCACCGCGAAATGGCGTGCAGCCTGGGCATCGATAGCTTGGCCAAGTACTGGTGGTATAAGTTGTCCACAAATAATTTCTTCCGGTTTTCAATCTGCTGTTTCTCTGTCCCATGAGTCCTCTATCCCAACTAGTACACCTCTTTCAAGTTCCGACCCTGGGCCATGGTTTCCCGAAGTTCCGGGACGAGGCATGGGCTGAGAATGGGTAACCCATCAGAGTTGCAGAGAGAAGCATTGAATTAAATTTTCTCAAAAATGGGTTGCCACAGTATTGGAATTTGGTCAATTTCGTCGGCTGACTGTGGTCATCTAAAAGCAGACTCGGACGTCTTTTTTTTTTTTTTTTTTTTTTTTTAACAACGGGCCCAGTGCCCGAGGCTGATATTACCAATAGAAAAGATTGAGGCCGGGGTCCTCACAGTCTACCCGGAGTAACCAAGCCGAAATTGCTGAGAACCTGATGATAATGATGATGGGAAGATTTGAAAGAAAATATCCACACTTCAGCTACCAAACACTTCTCCTACCAACAGAAACTGGAAAAGTAACACTACCTCTTCAGACTTGGACGGCATGACTTTTGACCAAGCATATAGAATGCCCTTCCGTCCAAAACGGTTAATACCACCAGTACCCCAGGGGGTCTTAGACCAGGCACCCTCTGGGGGGGCTCTGATGCAAATGCATATGGACCCCCCGCGGCGCACCAATTCATCCTTTCCGCGTTAACGGCCTAAATACGTGGAGGTAGTGGTGGTTTAATACCAAGATTTGGGCTTCTTTTTTATGACAATACAATTCCAAAAACAGACATGTCCAGACATCAGATGGGTCCAGGGGCGAGGTCCCGCTAGCAGAGAGGATTGGATATAATGCCTGAATCTGGATGTGTGTGCGGAAATGCTTAAACGACTGGAGTACAGTAACTTCGTAAAGTTGTGCACGTTAACAAGCCACAATCTTTTTTAGAGAAAACTACGGCGCAGTCAGGGTTACAGTTTGTAATTGCATTTGAAACTTCGTTTTAGCAGTTTAGTCAGGGCCCGAGTTTCAATTGCATTTGGAACTGCGTTTTCGCAGTTTGAAACTCAGGCTGGCTTTTTCTAGCAGCTCAGTCAGGCACATGGCCGTTTCTTTCTTTCTTCGTTTTTTTTTTTTTTTTTTTTTTTTTTTTTTTTTTTTTTTTTGGTTGCGTGCCGTAAGGCGTCGTGCCGCTCCGCGGCTGACAAAAAAAAAACAAAAAAAAACAAAAAAAAACCAGCCTCATGGTTGGGCCACGGCCGAGATGTCTCGGCCACACCCCAGACTGGCCACGGCTGAGATGTCTCGGCCACACCCCAGACTGGCAACGGCCGAGATGTCTCGGCCACACCCCAGTCTGGCCACGGCCGAGATGTCTCGGCCACACCCCAGACTGGCCACGGCCGAGATATCTCGGCCTCACCCCAGATTGGCCAGGGCCGAGATGTCTCGGCCACAGCCGAGATTCGCAGGCACCACCCTTCACAGGCAAGCGCGAAGTCTCAAGAGTAGCCTTCGGGGCAGGGATGGAGGCCAAAAAAAGAAAAAAGAAAAAGAAGAAATTCGCAGCCAGGATGGCTGCCTATAGATGGATGCATTTTGCCCGGTCGAATGTATAGAACCTAGCTTTAGGGTCGGGTGGGGACGAGTGCACCGAGGCAGCTACGTTGTCCAGCTGCATTCACAATGTTGTCGGATGTGTTGTCGTGCAGAGTCGTGCAACTAGGCCTAAAAAATAGGTGTAAGGGTCTCGTTAGACACTCCTAAAAGTTCCTGTTTTTAGGATTGTGTGTTGGTTGCACGCAATCCTAAATCGGCCGCGGGAATCGAAAATGTGAAAACGGCGTTAGGACTCGTCCTAAAAGTTTTAGGATTCGGGTCTCGTTAGACACTCCTAAAGGTTCCTGTTTTTAGGATTGCGTGTTGGTTGCACGCAATCCTAAATCGCCCGCGGGAATCGAAAATGTGAAAACGGCGTTAGGACTCGTCCTAAAAGTTTTAGGATTCCCCAGGCAAATCGTCCTAAATTTTCCAGTAGCCCCGGAGCTACTTAAAAATTTAGGATTCCCGATTATCACGGAGTCGGTGCGTCGCGCGCATGGCACCGTCGCCACAAGGTTGCTGGTCCAGTAGCGGTCCGTCGGGTGGGCAGTCGGACATCGGAGTTTTGGAGTGGGCCGAGGCCGGCAACGGCCAGCGGTGGTAGCCGTTGGCAGCCGGTGACGAGCGGGGCGGTGGGGGTGGGGCTGGGGGGTCTGGTGACCGTCTGCGGGCTGCCGGCCGTAGTGGACCGTTGTCTCGACGTTGCTAGCGACGGTGGAGGACGACGTCGGTCCCGCCACGACGCACGGTGGCGCAGGCTTCGAGTGGTGGCGACAACGGTCGTTTTTTGAATCGCATGCTGCCACCTTCGTTGTCTTCTCTGGCTGTTGTCGGCATATGAAGGTCCACCGGGCGCGACTCCCCGCGCATGTTACAGCAGTGTGGTGCAGTAGCCGTCGCGTGCGCAGTTGGGGTTGGTGGTGAATTTGATGGCGGACGTAGGGAGGAGATTGCCTCTACTGGTGCTCGCCGTTGTCGTCTTCCTCCACGTGTGTTTGTCGTGGCGCCCGTCGAAACAACATCGCAAGAGGAGGGCGTCGACGAAACGGTCGGCAGGAGAGCGTACAATGGCGGACATGCAGGGACGCGCGGGTGTGGGTGCAGGTCAGGGCGGAATACGACCTGCGACGGCGGAGCCTCCACAACGGTATGACCCATCCATGTACGCCCATTTGCAGTCGTGGGAGACGCCGCTGCCCCCGTCGGACGAGGAGCCCGAGACGGAAGAACTGCCGACGTTGCCTCTTGTTAGCGGCTCGACGCAGCTTTGGTCGCAGACGGTGCGAGCAGGCAGTTCGGGTTGCAACGAAGGCGGTGAGTACACGTCTTTGCTGCAGCAAGGCTTGGAAGACGACGACGATGGAGGACTTGATCTCAGGTTCGGCTTGTGTTCTGGCGGGTCCAAGGAGGCAAGCCGTACGTTGATCATCGACGCCAATCCTTCGCCACGTGGCGTGGAACAGGGTGGGAGTCAGCGTACGGATCAAACCACCCTTCGTGCCCGTGCGTCCGTCGCTGCCAGTGTCGGGCCATCTGCAGTGCTCCGGCGTCAAGGCTCCACAACATTGTCCGCCGATCGATCGACAAGTAACTGGCCTGCACGCAACGGAGCCGCAGCCGGGTCACCGCGCGTCGAGTGTGCACGTCCTTTGATGCCCGAACGCACAACACCGACCCAATCCGACGTCAGGGACACGGGTGCATGCAGACCGCTGGTGCGTCTAGTACCCACAGTGGAGAACATCACACGAGGTGTGTCGAACATGAGGGCACACAGTGATGGCGGCGACGGCGACGGTGTTAGCGTCGACGATGCTAACGAGCGATTGACGGAGGACGTGGACGCAGGGGACGACAACGAAGACATTCCTGTTCGCCCGTTGGGGAAGACGGGTGGAAGGGGGAGAGCACGCAGTAGGGGTGTTGTTCGTGGTCGATCCGTTGGCCGTGGCGGCAGAGGCTGTGTCAGCGACGATGCCGGGAACTCTGTGACGTACTGGTCTCAAGAGGAACAACTGCAACTAGTGAGATGCAAGCGGGAGCAAAAGATGCACCTCGCCGGGCTGGGCCACAACTACGGGCGGATGCGGACGAAGGACTAGAAGTAGGATGACATTGCAAAGCGCATGGCGAGCGGGGGGAAACCGAAAGACGCGGACGACTGCATAAAGAAGTGGGACAATCTGTTCCAAAACTACAAGAAGATACAGAGGTTTCAGAACGCAAGCGGCCGTCCTGATTTCTTCGGCCTTACGAATGAAGAAAGGAAGGAGCACAATTTCAAGTTCAGGATGGAGAGAGCGCTGTACAACGAGATCCATGCTGGCATGCTGGGCAACCATACAATTTTTCCTCCGAACATCGCTGACACAGGAAATCCTGACGGGGTGCAGCTTCCCAGGAGAGGAGGTGGCGGTGGTGAGTCGGTTGGTAGTGAGGCTGGTGGTGAAGGCTTCCCCGAGGAACGTTCTTCTGCGCGGGAGTCCGAGAACAACGCAGGCAGCGGGGCTGGAGGCGGCAAGCGGAAGAATGCACGTCAACAGGCGTTGGAGTCGATCGCCGATGTCATGGATCGACATGGCGAGCTGATGTCGTCGACGATCGAATCCTCCAGCAAGCGGCAATGCAGCATTTTCACGAGGCAATGTGACATACTGGAGCAGGAAGTAGCAGTC